GGCCAGTTCAATGGCGTTGCCGATTCTCCGTTGAGTACTTTAAGGATTCCGGAAATATTTAGCGACAGCGAGTCAGCCATACAATTTAGAAAGGGGTTTGAGGAAGCAAGTAAGTTCCTTCCGAATGGGAGTCTGCTTGTCCGCATTCAGGACGACAGATTGTTACCCAAAGAGCTGAAGGAAGAGGCTAAAGATGTGGTAGATAAGGTGGAGAGGATTGAGATCTCTCGAGACAGATCGAGGGGAAAGAAGAACCCTTATTCGGAGGATTCGAGTTTACAGAGTGGCAGGAGTAACAAGCAGTCTTTAGTGTGTACCGAATCCTCTGTAAGCCCCGAAATTGTGAAAGTGTAACTGATCTTCAAAAAGTTTTGCAAGATGAAACGAGCAAGAGTGCGCAGCACAACGGAAAAGCGAAAGGGTCTGATGGTGGAAAGGGTTGTGCGAAGAAATACGGAGGTAAAAGGAATATGGTGGATCTGAGAGCTCTGTTAACTCTTTGTGCGCAAGCCGTTGCAACTGATGATCGGAGGAATGCAAATGAGCTGATGAAGCAAATCAGGCAGCATTCTTCACCTATGGGTGATGGGATGCAGAGGGTGGCTCACTATTTCATCGATGGCCTTGAGACACGATTAGCTGGTTCCGGGACACGGATTTACACTGCCCTTATCACGAAGCCGACTTCGGCTGCTGATGTTTTGAAAGCTTACCATCTGTATCTTGCTGCTTGTCCTTTCAGAAAGCTATCAAATTTCTTCTCGAATAAGACGATAATGAATCTAGCAGAAACTGCAACTAGGCTTCATATTATTGATTTTGGTATTCTATATGGCTTCCAGTGGCCTTGCCTTATACGACGTCTCTCGTCTAGACCTGGAGGACCACCTAAGCTGAGGATTACAGGGATTGATTTTCCACAACCGGGTTTCCGCCCGGCAGAAAGGGTCGAGGAGACAGGGCGCCGTCTTGTGAACTATGCAAGGACTTTCAAAGTTCCATTCGAGTTCCATGCTATTGCACAAAAATGGGACACCGTTCAAATCGAGAACCTTGGTATTGACCGTGACGAGGTGGTTGTTGTAAACTGTATGTACAGGCTTAGAAATGTACTTGATGAGACTGTGATTGTCGAGAGTCCGAGGAATAAAGTTCTCAACTTGATCAGGAAGATGAATCCTGATGTTTTCATATTGGGAGTTGTGAATGGTGCCTACACCGCGCCGTTCTTTATCACGAGATTCAGGGAGGCTCTCTTCCACTATTCTACTTTATTCGATATGCTCGAAACTAACGTGCCTCCTGAAATTCCGGAAAGGATGCTGATCGAGAGAGATATATTCGGGTGGGAGGCAATGAATGTCATCGCATGCGAGGGTGCAGAAAGGATCGAGAGGCCCGAGACTTACAAGCAGTGGCAGATGAGGAATACAAGGGCCGGTCTCAGGCAGTTGCCACTGAATGAAGAGATCATGAAGACAGCAAAGGAGAGGGTGGATACATGCTACCACAAGGACTTTGTAGTCGACGAGGATAACCGCTGGTTGATTCAAGGATGGAAGGGTCGAACCGTTTACGCACTCTCGACTTGGGTTCCCGCCTCTTTGCATTCGGATGGCAGCCATCGGTAGTTACGATTTAATGATGGACTGGAAATTGATATTGTTTACAAAGAAGGGTATAAGTTGATCCATTTAGTCCCCTCTATTATAGGGATTGTGCCAATTGTACAGGGACTATTCCGAACAAGTTTCAATAGTAAAGGTACTAATTTTTAACAAGTTTCAATAGTAAAGAGACTAGTTTTATATATGCATGGAAGAAAAAAACAATTATATTTGCAAAATAATGAAAAAATCATCTGCAGAAGTGTCCATTTACAATGAAATATACGAAATTCGAGCCTCGTCGAGTCATCGTATGTAGGTTCGTCCTAAAGACATGAGTCCTGTGTCTTTAACTGGTGTCTGAAAATGGACAAACAGAAAGAGTGAAATATAGTTAAGAATGGAAGCTCAAAGAACAAAACAAATGAGCTTAAGAATTCTTGTTTTAGCGATGCTTACTTGTGATTTCACAGAAGGGAAGACATTCCAAAACCTCAAGGTCTCGTCCCCTGCACCGGTCACTATGGTCTGCGAAGACGAAATACGATTATTCTTTTACCCGATAAATTGTTTTTGATATACGAGAGTTCGATTTGTTAATCGTTGGGGGCAAACATTACCTGTCCGTCGGGCGACATGGCGAGATAGAGGACTCGAAGACTATGTCCAGTTAGTGTCGCGACCTTTGCCATTGAAGGATACTTCCACACCATGATTTGGTTCTGAGAATATCCATGAGTGCTAACCAGTTCATTCACATTCTTGCTCCATGATAGATTGCATACTTGGCTCCCTGTGTCTATGTGGTTCAGTTGATGACCATTTGTCGTGTTCCAAAACCGGATACATCGATCCGCGGTTCCACCACCCGATGCGAGAAGGTTGCTTTGATGGGGTGACCAAGCAATGGCTTTGACAGCAGCCGTGTGTTCCGTCAGTTTAAGAACCGGCTGCTGCGAATGCTGGTTCCAGACCAAAAGCTGCACCGGCAAAATTGTTTAAGCAGTTTGCTATGTCTCCGGGATAAAAAGATAGAAAAAGAAACGAATTCATGGTTACCTGATTATCGTTCCCACCAGATGCAAGTTCACGGTCGTCGTGTGACCATTTCAATCCACAGACCTCAGATTTGTGTCCAACAAGCTTGCTGACATAGTCACTCGGAACTCGAAGATCATGCTGAAGAATGTTACGATCCCTGCTTCCGGATGATAGTGTCCGTGAATTCCAAGCCAGGACACCAGTTCTCGTTTGATGTCCGCCCATCGTTCGGACCCTCTTGCACTGAGTTCCATCCCATACCTATCCATACAAGACCAGAAGTGCTTAAATGTGACTGTATTTACCCACTAGGATGGCGAATCGAATATGAAATCGACAGTTACATACCTGAACTTGACCGAGATTCGTACCGATCGATATGTAGGAACCTTCCCGGGTCCATTGAACAGCACACACACTATCATTTGGTCCCAAATCACACAACTTGGTAACTCTGCTATTTGATGCAGTCCACAAATAAACACAAGTTCCCAACCCAACTGCAAGTACATTCTGAGACGACCAATCGGCAAGATTCAGATAGAAGTCATCTTGAAGCGACGGGGCGTCGAGGACCTGGATTCCTTCGACATTTTAGTCGGTGTTATCGAATTCTAAAAAATCGGGTTCGAGTCTGACAAACATACCTTATGGGGTGTCTTGGGACTTTCCTTGGGGGCTTGGGAGGTGTAGATGTTTCACTTGAGAATCCACTGTCCTGTCCCAGAAGCAAAGGAGAATACGGGGAGCTCGGCGTCGAATGCTCGGCCTTGAACCGCAATAAGTTCCGGTTCGGACTCATCGGCGAACTTTTACCTGCAGGAGAAAAAGAACCGAAATCAGGACCGAAAAGTTCGGATCTCAAAATCCTGGAATAAGCTTCATTCCCTCCTTCTTTAGCAGGCGACTCCTTGTCCATCAACCCAAACATGTGCAGCCTCGAAGAGGATCTACAAGGAATAAACCTATCGCTACAAATAGACGATTTCGACGAGGATGAAGGTGAAGTCAGACTCGATATCATCCGAGGCGAAGATATCGAAATCGAACGAAAGGAAGAAGCAGAAGTTTCCAGCCGTAGTGAAGTTTCGTTCATCCCAGCAGGGAGGTTCAAGCCACTCTTTCTTCTCGGAGGAGAGTCCATTTTTCGAGCTTCGATCAGCTTGGGAACTAATAAAAAATGAGTTTTTAGCAGGAAAATCAAAGGCTCCTCTAGGGTTTTGTTTAAGGAGCTGATTTTTCTTTCCTGCTTTGATAAAGCGTGAAAGGAGGAAGAAGAAGATCTGCAACGGTCGAATATTTTAATTTTGGTAGCTCAAAGAGGAGCTTATGCTTGTTTCTTTTATATGTTTCGAAAACGGGAAGGATGTCGTTTTGGGTTTTGATGAATTCAAAACGACGTGATCCGTGGGATTCTAGTACTAACGGTCACTTTTTTTCCCATGAATAATATATAGTATAGAGCTGATTGACCTGTCAGACTGGTTTAGTTACCGTGTAAATTGCCAAATAGCCGTTGCTTGTGACCTTTTAAATTATTTTTTACCTTTTCCATAATTTTCCAAATATGAATATTAACGTAGTTTTTTATTATTTTTTCTCAACGTGGCCGTCTAACTTAGAAAAAAAATTCAGTGGCCGTCTAACTTAGAAAAAAAATTCAGTGTAGCTATTTGATCAACATTTTTTTTCGTTGACCGTTATAGTATTGACATGGCGGTCCACGGTGATAATATGACAATTTATTTGTCATATTTGAGTTACCTATTTAACTAATTGTCCATGTCATCCGTCACATTAATCTATTATCCTTGATTGTCACGTCAACAACGTGAACTATTTATATCAACACTTTAACAATTAACGACGAAAAACTTTAGTAAAAGGGTTACATTAGGTTTGTTTTCTGATTAGAGGATCATATTGAGAGAAAAATAATACGAGACTCATATTGATTCCCCCCAAAAGTATAGGGATCTCGATGCATTTTTGTCCTTTTTTATATATGGTTGGACATAAATTAAATCACTTTTATATCCTACAGTCACTTATGCTCAAACATGGGACGACACCTCTAAAAATAATAACAATTATTTTAATTACTAAAGGCAGTTCGATTTGTGCATAAAATCATATATTTAAAACCTTAATGTTATGAATGAAATAATTAAAAATTATTTTTATAGTAAGATTTTATAAATTTAATTTAGATTGTTAATGATTGGATGAAAAAAATGGCAAAGAAGTTGTTTATTTAAAATATGAGAACACTTATAATAAAAGGATAAATTATAAATTTGATCATTCGATTTTCTTCTTACCTTTATTTTGATCACTAAATTTTATCAGTCGTTCGTTTATACCGGGAAAGAGACTGCACCCACCATTCATAAAAATAGAACTGGTCAACCTATTCTCCAGTGCCTCATCCTTGGATGGCAACCTTCTTATTGAGACCCTGGTCATCTCATCCAACCCCGCTTGATCTATCCCGACCAAGTTCGGGAGGAATAATATTTCAGGACATCAGAACCTTTCGACCCCAAGCACAATTTGGAAGTCTTCCTTGGTGAGTGGACGAACATGTGGTGCCTCGGCGGTAGCCGGCTGTGAAGGTGCTGGTTCGGGTTTAGGCACAAATGTTGGGTCTATCTCCTGCAGAAACGGAGAATGTAGCTAGTGATTCATCTTTCATATTCGAAAATCTCAAATATATCAATACATACCACGAGAAAGAAACTGACCTGGAGCCTAGAACAAACACGGGCCAGCTCCGCTTCATCTTCATCAGCTCCATTATCATCATCATCGTTATCTTTTCCCATTAGTTTGTAAAGTTGCCAATCTTCGTCTCTGGCACCAAAAGTATCCTCGCCTTTACCTCGGTCAAAAGCTGATTCTTCCCTCTGAGCTGCATTCAGTCTTTCCCCACGCCCGACGTCACCGGACACACTACTCCCATTAGTATGACCTCCATTTGTCTTGAGTTTTTTCTGCTGTTCGACCTTCTCATACAGTTCTTTGTATCTAGTATGCATCTGTTCGAGATAAAGTGGAGGGTTCTCCCTGTAAAAAGATAAAGCAATCGGTTTAAATGTAAACTCGCAATATGATGGGGATGCCTTTTTTCTAGGAAAAATTAAACGTGAAAAAAGGTAGAGACAAAAATCTGCGTTTGAGGCATAGAAATCATTTGCCTTTGGCTAAAACAATACCATCAATGACAAGAAAGCAATGCATAATAGATATTCGCCATTGTCGATGACGATGGGAGTTGATGAAGGGAATCGATTGTAATCCGTTTGCCTCCGAATTTAGGGTTTCTCTTGGACCGGAAATGAGTGAGAGTTGAGGGGAGAGGGGGTTCTTCTGGGAGAACTGAAGGCAGCGCATTGTGTTAGGGTTTAATAATATTTTATTCAGATTTCAAAATCAACAGCGGGGATAGCTCAGTTGGGAGAGAGTCAGACTGAAGATTGAAGGTCACGTGTTCGATCCACGTTCACCTCATTGAATTTTTCATTTTAGTTTTTATTTTTTGGGCTAAATATGACAGAGTATTGGGCTGAAAACAATAGACTCGACTGACCCACTGCAATCAATTAAATTCTAAATGAAATATCTTTATTATTAGGCTTATATCATAAATAAATAATTACCTAAAGTATATTTTCTTTTTTATTTAAGTACTTAAAATATATTTTTGGTCAAAATAAGTACTTAAAGTATTTTTTATGTCAAAATAGGTACTTTTCATCTAAGTTCAAAAAATAATTGACATGTGGCATTAATAAAAGAATGCTTTAAGAACTTAGATGAAAAAAATGAATACTTTAGGTACATATTTTGATCAAAAAATACCTTAAGTACTTATTTTGACCAAAAAGATATCTTTATGTACTTAAATGAAAAATAGGGTATACTTTAGGTACTTATTTGTTATATAAGCCTTATTATTATATTTAAAAAAAATTATTTAAATTTTTAATGGCTTAAAGTAAAAAATAAGTACTTAAATTACACTTATCTTTTGCTTTAGGTACGATGCTTAAACTATTTTTTTGGATTAACTAGGTACTTAAACTATTATATTAATTATTTTAAGTCATAAAATTTTCCAATTAAAAATATATTTTTCGACCAAAGAATAGTCGAGGTACTTAAATTGATTATATATAATAGTTTAAGTACCTAATTCTATCAAAAAATAATTTAAATACTTAAAATAAAAAACAACATAGTTTAAGTTTTTTTTTTAATTTTAGCCTTTTTCTAATTATTGAATTTATTGGTTATTATTGAGGCATGCTAAAGTTATATATAAAAATAATTCATAAAAAATGAATTTTAAATTAAATATAAAATATAAAAAATTGTTAGATTTGAACTATTAAGAAATTAAAGATCCCAAATGAACAACCCCATGACAATAGATGCCTCGTCTCTTCATTTTCTTAATTTAATTTTTTGATTCCCTGCATGTGATACATGCATGCATGCATACATGCATACATGCATACATACATAAAGAATTGTTAAAATTTTCTAGTGTTGTTTACATTGATTTTGTATTTACTTTGACTGGTCTCATCCACTAATTATAGTCACAAGCAAAACAAATATTCCCTCACAAAATTTCTACCAAATTCGACATTTATAGCAAAACAAAATTTCTTAAGAACCCACCATTAGGGATGGTAAAAAAATCCGAACTCGACGAGGAAAATCGAAAACCGAATTAAATGGGGATGGAGAAAAACCGTTTATGTTAAACGGTGACGGGGACAGGGAAAAACCGTTTATGCTAAATGGAGACGGGGACGGGTTTGGTAATTCCTGCCCCGATTACCCGGTCCGATAAATATTAAAAATAATTATTATATATATATATATATATAATATTAATAAATTTAATTTAAATTAAAAATAATAATATTTATATATTTAATTTAAATATATATATACCCGTTTAAATAACCGTTTATGCTAAAAGGGATACTCGTTTCCCCGATTATCCGATGGGGATCCCCGTTTAAATCCCCGTGGGTTTTTAAGCGGGGACGAGTACGGGTTTTTTAAACGGAGACGGGGACGGGGGGACTAATACCTGAACCCGGCCCGTTGCATCCCTACCCACCATGATCTTTGATGCCATCCTCTTAAAATTCTTAATTTGGTATATATATATTTTTTCCAAATGACGAAGCGTGATCGAATATGAAACTAATATCTGACATTTATATCTAAATTCGAATAATATATTTAAGGTATGTATATAAAAATGCACAAAGGGAACATAGGAAACATTATTGTTATGGTGATGGAACCCTATTCCTTGGAAATGGACAAGGATTAAGGGACATGCATGCATGAAAAATTGTAATTAAAAAAGGTCTTAATTAGAGAAAAAAAACATGAAAAACATGTTGTGTTGTTCCAAATCAAACCCTACATGTTTGACTGATTTTCTTTTATGGATATTAATTTGATTATTTTGCAAAAGAGGTTGGTATAATGTGGATAATGAAGAAAGTATTCGAAAACTCACATGCATGCATGTGAAATAGTTTCAGCTCACAGCTGCCACTTGATGCATAGAAACAAACAATTTTGTTGGGTTGAATTCAACATTTAGTCTACCACATGTTTATTAACTTTGTTAATATACACGGAGAGAGTTAATTGCATCACATGTTCTCAAAGTATGATCTTCATTTAAAATCGGTCCCAAAACTTTCAAATGTTTCAATTTCATCCTTAAAGATGACTATCATTCTAAATTAATCCTTAAACTTTTGAACATTTCAATTTCATCCCCAAACTATGACTTTCATTCTAAATTGACCCCCACACTTTTTGAACATTCCTATTCTATCATAAAATATGTATATACTAATCATGTCCCTTATTAATAAAAAATGGTTAGGTCAAGTTATATTATTATATGTTTAAAAAAACAAAATTTAGGTTAAAATATAGATGGTTGAAACTAATTACATGTTTGGATGAAATTGGAAGATTCAAAAGTTTTGGGACCATTTTATAAAAAGGGTCATAGTTTAGGAATGAAATTAGGATGTTCAAAAGTTTAAGGACAACTTTAAGATGAGAGTCATAATTTGAAGATGAAATTGGAATAGTCAAAACTATAAGGACCAACTTAAAATGAGGATTATAGTTTGAGGACATATGACTCATAATATATAATATATTTATAAGGCAAAAGGGTAACATTTTCCCCTTTAATAGACTCAATTTATCACTTTCGTCCCTATCGTATTTTTACATCAGTTTAGCCTTCGAAGTTGCTCAATTGCATTATTCTATACCCTAACTCTAACCCTAACTTAAAACTTTAAATTATAAACCCTAAACCATGACCATAGAACCCATAATCATAAACTCTAACTTGGGTTTATAGTTTTGGGTTTTAATTTAGGGGGTATAATATAGAATCATGCAATTAAATAACTTTGAGGGTTAAATTGATACGAAAATACAGTAGGGACAAAAATGATAAATTAGATCTACAACATGGACAAAAGTGACATAAGCTAAAACAAATGAAGGATTTTAGGTCTGATACAATTAAAAAGTCGTATTAGAAATTTAAAAATACGAAGTTATAATATAATATTAATTTTTTTATATATAAATATGTATTGGATATTTGTTTGTTATTTAAGTGTGTATGAGAGTCGATCAATATTTTTGTATGGAAGAGAGTCGATCACGAAATGAGGAAGGAGAAGGAGACGATATATCAATATTTTTGTATGGTCGTTGATCAATATTTTTGTATGGAAGAGAGTCGATCACAGAATGAGGAAGAAGAAGGAGACAATATATCAATCGTAAGGGTTCCAATGTCCTCCTCGATTGTGTCAAAGGGTGTTTATAATCAATTTTAGCGTGTGTCAGTCTTATGATCTCTATGATTATTTATAAGTTGACATATTAGATAGATCTTATAGTTAGACATTGTCTAAAAGTATAATTTATACGTTGTAGCTTACTGGAAGCTATAATTTAAGGGATGTAGGTTACCCGAAGACTCCGACAAATAGAAAAATTTATCTTAAGACCTTGATCGATGAAAAACTGACAGTTCCGACGAATTTATCTAGAAGACCTTTTTCTAAATCAAACTCGTTTTATAATTTGTTTTAAAATAAAAAATAACAATGATATCGATTTCCAACATACATCAACAATTGGACGTTGATGCACGAGGTAGTTGGGAGTGTGATTGGGGGATTTGGATGTGTCAAAGAGTTTTGTCATTTCCCAGCTGCCTGACACTGAGAAGGTTATTTCTACAAAATTTATCAACCCTAACTCATTGGTGGGTTTGGATTTTTCTTGTTTCGTCACGTAAATATGATATTTTCAACATACAAAAACATTACCAACTCTTTATCTAACATCTAATTATTATGAAAATTTATTTTATATTAATTTTAAGGTAAATTATGTATTTAGTACATAAACTATCAGTTTTGATCCGTTTTAGTACCTAAACCTTCAATTTTTCAAAATCATACCTAACATTTAGCTTTTATTTCATTTTAGTACCTCACCGTTAAAAACTTAACGGGTGATTTGCACGTGACACGTTTTTTATGAGAAAATTGCATCATCATCAGTTAACTATCTTATCACTCTTACTCTGGTCACTAAAGTTTATTTTTTTAATTTAATTACTCAAATTTCAAATTACTCCTGATTTAATCACTCTAACTTTTAAATTTATTTTTTTATTTTTACTTATATATTAATAAAATAATAATAAAAATGTCATGTCACAAAAGTTATTAATAAAATAAATTAGGGTGATTAAAATAGGAGCAATTTGAAAGTTGAGTAATTAAACCCTAAACTTTAGTACCAAAATAGGGTATTCAAATTACTATCATTTTTTATCCGTTTTAGTACCTAGACCTTCAATTTTTTAAAATCATACCTAATATTTAGATTTTACTTCATTTTAGTACCTCACTGTTAAAAATTTAACGGGTGATTTGCACATGACACGTTTTTTATGAGAAAATTGCATCATCGTCAGTCAACTATCTTATCACTCTTACTCTAGTCACTAAAGTTTATTTTTTAATTTAATTACTTAACTTTCAAACTACTCCTGATTTAATAACTCTAACTTTTAAATTTATTTTTTTTATTTTTAGTTATATATTAATAAAATAATAATAAAAATGTCATGTCACAAAAGTTATTAATAAAATAAATTAGGGTGATTAAAATAGGAGCAATTTGAAAGTTGAGTAATTAAACCCTAAACTTTAGTACCAAAATAGGGTATTCAAATTATTATCAGTTTTTATCCGTTTTAGTACCTAGACCTTCAATTTTTCAAAATCATACCTAACATTTAGATTTTATTTCATTTTAGTACCTCACTGTTAAAAACTTAACGGGTGATTTGCACGTGACACGTTTTTTATGAGAAAATTGCATCATCGTCAGTCAACTATCTTATCACTCTTACTCTTGTCACTAAAGTTTATTTTTTAATTTAATTACTTAACTTTCAAATTACTCCTGATTTAATAACTCTAACTTTTAATTTTTTTTTATTTTTACTTATATATTAATAAAATAATAATAAAAATATCATGTCATAAAAGTTATTAATAAAATAAATTAGGGTGATTAAAATAGGAGCAATTTGAAAGTTGAGTAGTTAAACCCTAACCTTTAGTACCAAAATAGGGTATTCAAATTACTATCATTTTTATCCGTTTTAGTACCTAGACCTTCAATTTTTCAAAATCATACCTAACATGTAGATTTTATTTCATTTTAATACCTCAACGTTAAAAACTTAACGGGTGATTTGCACGTGACACGTTTTTTATGAGAAAATTGCATCATCATCAGTCAACTATCTTATCACTCTTACTCTGGTCACTACAGTTTATTTTTTTAATTTAATTACTTAACTTTCAAATTACCCCTGATTTAATCACTCTAACTTTCAATTTTTTTATTTTTTACATATATATTAATAAAATAATAATAAAAATGTCCTGTCACAAAATTTATTAATAAAATAAATTAGGGTGATTAAAATAGGAGCAATTTGAAAGTTGAGTAGTTAAACCCTAAACTTTAGTACCAAAATAGGGTATTCAAATTACTATCAGTTTTTATCCGTTTTAGTACCTAGACCTTCAATTTTTCAAAATCATACCTAACATCTAGATTTTATTTCATTTTAGTACCTCACCGTTAAAAACTTAACGGGTGATTTGCACGTGACACGTTTTTTATGAGAAAATTGCATCATCATCAGTCAACTATCTTATCACTCTTACTCTGGTCACTACAGTTTATTTTTTTAATTTAATTACTTAACTTTCAAATTACCCCTGATTTAATCACTCTAACTTTCAATTTTTTTTATTTTTTACATATATATTAATAAAATAATAATAAAAATGTCATGTCACAAAATTTATTAATAAAATAAATTAGGGTGATTAAAATAGGAGCAATTTGAAAGTTGAGTAGTTAAACCCTAAACTTTAGTACCAAAATAGGGTATTCAAATTACTATCAGTTTTTATCCGTTTTAGTACCTAGACCTTCAATTTTTCAAAATCATACCTAACATTTAGATTTTATTTCATTTTAGTACCTCACCGTTACAAACTTAACGGGTGATTTGCACGTGACACGTTTTTTATGAGAAAATTGCATCATCATCAGTCAACTATCTTATCACTCTTACTCTGGTCACTACAGTTTATTTTTTTAATTTAATTACTTAACTTTCAAATTACCCCTGATTTAATCACTCTAACTTTCAATTTTTTTTTATTTTTTACATATATATTAATAAAATAATAATAAAAATGTCATGTCACAAAATTTATTAATAAAATAAATTAGGGTGATTAAAATAGGAGCAATATGAAAGTTGAGTAGTTAAACCCTAAATCCTAAACTTTAGTACCAAAATAGGAGTGAAAATATAGTTGAGGGATGAATGATGTAATTTACCCCATAAAAATGAGAGTTCCATCAAGTTTTTAACACGGAGGTACTAAAATGAAATAAAAACTAAACATTATATATGTTTTTGAAAAAAAAAATGAAAGCTTAAGTACTAAAATATACCAAAACTGATAGTTTAGGTACTAAATGCATCATTTACCCTATTTTTTATATACTTTATAGTTTGATTCTCATATATCTTCATTCGTGTAATATATGTTATATTATTTTTATAAATTTTAAGGGTAAAGTATACAAATGGTCCTCAAATTATAGGGAGTTATTTTATTGAGTCACTCGGCTATTAAAAGTTATAAAATGGTCCTCCAACTATAGGGAGCTGCTTTATTGAGTCCCTCGACTATTAAAAGTTAAGAAATAGTTGTATGACTATTCATATGTTCCAAACTTGTTATTTTCTGATAAAAAATTAACGATAATCTAAGTTGGAGGTTAACATGTTGATTGAGATATGATAGTCGTTTAAGATTCTATGATCAGATTTTATCATATCTTACTCACCAGGTTAACCCCAATTTAGGTTGCCATCAATTTTTTAACAGAAAGGGACGAGTTTGGAATATAAGAATAATTGTGTAATCATTTTGTAACTTTTAATAGTCAGTGGACGCAACAAAGCAACATCATATAGTTGAGGGACTATTTTGTAACTTTTAACAATTATGAGACTCATTAAAGTAGTGCCCTATAGTCGGGGGACTATTTGTGTACTTTACCCAAATTTTAAATGTGCTATGTATTTATGTTATATTATTTTAAAAATTTTGATTTCCAAGGGCAAAAGTGAAATATTTTCTTTCTTGTGTCATTTCAAAGGAAATTTCCCTTCTTTTTAACATAGAAGTAGAAATTTATAGTTACAGCTCAAATATAAAGCCTAAATGAGATTTTACCGCTTTTAAAAATTCACTTTCTTTTTTCCCCCACAGACATCTTCATTTGGAACTCTGACTCACTTCATTATTCAACTCCTTTTTACCCAAGTAAATATGGAAATGATCATGTGTCTTAATATACGGCTAAAAATAGTGTTATCGGTTTTGTTATTATTTAAATAATAAAATCGATAAAAATTTATTAGAAATATTATTATTTCTACAAGTTTTGTTATTTTTTTACCAGTTTTGTTATTGTTGGATATTTTACCAAAAATGTTAGAAAAATATTGATGTTTTAGGTAGAAATAATAATGTTTTAGGTAATTTTTTTTACTAATTTTATTATTTAAATAATAACAAAACCGATAACACTTTTTTTAACTGTATATTAAAGGTACCGCACTGTAAAATTTCCCAAGTAAAAATCTTAATTTATCATATCTTAAAAATTTACTTTTGTTTTTAACTGTAAATTCACTATCAAACAAACTACTTCACAATAGTAGTCAAAGTGCTCTAATTTTTTCCTCAACTATCAAAAGGGAAATTTTTATTACTCTTTATTTTTATAACCAATAGTATTTAATTTATTTATCGATTAATTTGGATCGGGTTTTACAGAAGTAAAGACGATTTTCTCAACACAATTTATTTCATTCACAAACGCTAGGATTTGACATTGACCTTACTTAAAGGATATAGTACTTCATCTTACTAAATCAATTGGACAATTAAAATAAATTTTTTACATAAATTAACATTAAATGATTGAGATTTATGAATTTAAGCTTGTAAGTCCAAGTTCGAATCCCACCACCGTCACTCTTAGTGGACAATCTGTAAAGTTATATGTAAATCCCAGTTGAATCTTAGGAATACCCTAATCCTGGATTGGGAGCCACCCCGACCTAAACTTTAATGTAACAAACAAAAAATTTATCTCTTATATTCTGTAATTCTGATTTTATCTCGATTTTTATTATTTAATTTAATTTAATTTTATCTTCAATTGCATTTAATTCTAAACAAACATAATCTAATTTTTGAGTTTGAATTCAATTAGAAAAACTAAATTTACTTGATATCATATCTAAAAAAATAAATTTTGATTTATATTTTATTAGAATATATTTAAATTATTTCGAGGTAAAAGAAGGCCAGGTGATACCTACAGCCACACCATCTGTTTACCATTTTATTTTTATGGTAAACTATAGGTTTACTTAAATTATCAGATTTTATCTGTTTTAGAATTTTAATGTCTAAATTATTAGTTTTGTATGTTTTAATCCCTAAAGTTTTAGTTTTTAAAAGTATACTTAATGTTTAGTTTTTATTTCATTTTAGTATCTGCCGTTAAAAACTTAAATAACAAGCTTGTCGGTCATTGCGTCTATAGTTGTCAATCATCGCATCCGTCAGTCGATGAAGCTCAAACTTTTCAGTCCGCACCTTTTCGACCCCATGAATATGATTCCGACCTCCATTTTACAGAAAAACGCCTCAATCTCCCCAAATCAACAATGAACTCTTCGATTTATTCATCTTCCGATCTCAATGCTCCATCGTCCGATGGGTCTGAAACTTGATTATGTTGGTCGACTCATCATTATCTAGTGGTCCGTCGTTCAAATTGGTTGTCCGTCCACCAAAGGTATGCCACGTCAGCCCGTTCGTTAAGTTTTTAACGACGGGTACTAAAATAAAATATAAACTATACATTATGTATGATTTAAAAAAAAATGAAAGTTTAGATACTAAAACGAACTAAAACTGACCGTTTAGGTACTAAACACGTAGTTTACCCTTATCTTTATTATTTTTAATTTTTCTATTTCCAACCTTAACTCTATTATAAATGGTGATCCAAATCCTCTCAAAATCCAGATTTTCACTTCTGATTCCACCCCACTGATCTCTCAAAAAACCCTCCCTTTCTTCCAAAAAAAACACATCTTTGATCTGTTTCTCAGCTGAAAAAAGCTCAACTTCCCGTTTCTCTTTCTGGGGTTTTTCATGGATTCATCTTCTTCAACCACAACGCCGCGTAGCTTCTTCTTGGACGAAAAATGGAAGCTTTCGAAGAGAGAAAGCTTCTCTTCGTCATCGAATTCGTCGTCTTTCACGGTGAGGAGTACGCCGGCGGCGGCGGCGAAACGATGCGCCTTCACGAGGAAATGTGCCAAGTTAGTGAAGGAACAAAGAGCTCGGTTCTACATCATGCGGCGCTGCGTTGCCATGCTCGTCTGCTGGCGTGATTGCGCCGATTCTTGAACCGAATTCTGAAATTTAATCTCGAGAGAACAAAGCTTGGGATTTTGGATTTATTAATGGCGTCCAAGCAACAACAATATATATACACATGTATATAGAGATTTTAGGACTAGAATTAGGCTCTTGGGATTTTTATTTTATTTGTAAGAGGTAATGAATCTTCTCCCTTTGAGTAGATATGATGGGTTCTTGTTGATGCAATTGTTACTTCCATCAAATGATCAACTATTTATATCATATGTCTTCAAACTATAACTTTCATTTTAGATAGATCCTAAGTTTTGAATGTTCTAAATTTATCCCTAAGCTATGACTATCATTCTAAATTAGTCATTAAACTTTTGAACATTCTAACTCCATTCCTAAACTATGATACTATTTTTAAATTAGTCTCTAAACTTTTAAATATTACGATTTTACCCCTAATTTCATCCAAATATGTAATTAATTTCAACCATAATTTAACCCTAAATTTTATTTTTTTTCTCAAACATATAATAATATAACTTGGTCTAATGATTTTATTAACAAGGAATGTGATTAGTATGTACATACGTTTTGGGATGAAATTGAAATATTTAAAAAGTTTAGGGACCAATTCAGAATGAATGTCATAATTTAGGGATAAAATTGAAATATCCAAAAGTTTAAGGACTAACTTAGAATGATAATTATAGTTTAGGGATGAAATGAAATATTAAAAATATTTAGGGACCAATTTAATATTAATTTTGACCCTTATACTATAGTAAAATTCTCACTTTGACCTTTCTAGTACTATATGGAATTAGTTTGGACCCATGCTTTAATGTTGTCTATTACTTTAGTTATTTTTGTGACTAAAGTGAAAGAATCCTAAAAGTTCAATGTTCACTAGTGCAATTACCCTTTATTTTATTTTGTTAAGAAATTTAAATAAAATAGTATTTTGTAGGACTGTCTTCATTGGTTTTGCCTTTCTTCATTTACATTTCTTTCTTCTCTTTATTAAACGCTGCCCCTGACATCACCAAAATCTGCGAAAAGGTCAGGCACAAAGACCTTTGCATCTCAAGCTATCAAGAATCGTATATCCGTCGATATGTTCCCGACAATGCCGGGACGGAGGTCATCGCATCGGTAATCATCAAAATCACCGTTAATAAGCCTCCGACATTTCGAAACCTCAAGACCACCGTACTCGAAGGTTCCGTGCCGTTGACCCCCAAGGTCCAGGCAAAATACGGACTATGCGACCAAGAAATCGTATCCGCTATGAAAGAACTCGATAAAGTCCGAACGGCGATGGAATCGAGGAGTAAGAGATCAGAGAAACTCAATTTGAAAGCTGCCATTGCTAATATTGAGAATCGTGAGAATGAATTGAAGAAAGTGGAAGCACAATCCCATCATGAATAATCATGCATTGGTTTTGCCTTTCTTCATTTACATTTCTTTCTCTTTAATAAACGCTGCCCCTGACATCACCAAAATCTGCGAAAAGGTCAGGCACAAAGACCTTTGCATCTCAAGCTATCAAGAATCGTACATCGGTCGATATGTTCCCGACAATGCCGGGCCGGAGGTCATCACATCGGTAATCATCAAAATCACCATTAATAATGCCTCCGACGTTTCTCGAAACCTCAGGACCACCGTACTCGAAGGTCCCGTGCCGTTGACCCCCGAGGTCCAGGCAAAATACAAACTATGCAACCAAGAAATTGTATCCGCTATGAAGGAACTCGATAAATTCCAGATTGCGATGGAATCGAGGAATCAGAGAAACTCAATTTGATAGCTGCCATTGCTAATATTGAGAATTGTAAGAATTGAAGAAAGTGGAAGCACAATTGCCTAACAAAGAGCAATTTGAACAAGTTATTATGCTCAAGGAGCTTTACATTCCGTCGAAAATCAAGTGTCGTTTGCTTGTTTCGAATGTTGGTCATGATTGTACTTTGATGGGGGTTCTTTGCCGACACCTTTTTCAACATTAATAAACTTCTATTTTGAATAAAGTACATAAATGATCCCGACTAGAGGATATTATTTTATTAAGTCTATCAACTATTAAGAGATACAAAATGATCACCATACTATTTATTATGCTTCAAACTTGTCCTTTTCCATTTAGAAATTGACAGTTGTCTTAGTTGGGCGTTAGAATGATAAATGAGATTTTGAGATCATATTTTATCATATCATAGTCAGTATATTAACGTTCAGCTCAGAACATCATTAATTTTTTAATGTAAAAGTATGAACTTTTAGTGTTAAATACAAACCAATATCTGTTTAAAAACTTTCAACCTAATAACAACCAATATTTTTTGCGGTCACAATGAGTTGCTAAACGCATTTTTCTTAAAATCATTCAAAAACACTCATCAATACACTCTTGTTTTAACACATATATCTATAGTAGTGAGCTTTACACAAGCTATAAAAACAACAAGCCTGCAATGTTGAAGCTAAATATAAAACTTTAGCACTTGAAATATGCGAGAGAATATGGTTGCTAGGATTACTTAAGGAATTGGAGTTGAATCAAGATGATAAATTTCATATTTTCATTGATAATATGCCATTCGTCATGATTGTTAGAAATCCTATTCATCATGACCGAACTAAACATGCGAAAATTAATAGGCATTTCATCTCAAAGAAGATTAATGGTGGAGTGACAGATCTATCCTATGTTTCTTCCAAGGAACAATTAGTTGATGTACTTACTAAAGCACAGCTAAAAGGAAGTTTTGATGATTTTACATGCAGGCTGAGTTTATACAATGTATACTCACCAACTTGAGGGGGAATGTGAGCTATAGATAAGATGTATCATCGTGATACAAATATATATTTAATCAAAAACATATCATCAAGCTTTTCACATACGGATGAACAAATAAATATGTATCTGATAAGCTTTTCACATACAAATAAATATGTATACTCACCAACTTGAGGGGGAATGTGAACTATCCATAATGCATATCATAGTATATAGACAATCCTGGAGCATTGAGCTTAACATATATATTTTAACAATAGAATTTTAAATCAAAAGATCACTCTTCATTTAAAAGAAGCTCCAGCTAATTATGATATATACTTATTTTATTAAACTAATTAAACTCCAAGAACACAATTTTCATAATTAGAATCAATTCGTTAACTAATTATAAAATAATTGAAATCATATTTTTCGTATAAATCTATATACTTGTTTAAAACTAAAAAAAAATAACTTAATTAACAAATAAATAAATGGATTTGTTTTGAAAAACAATATGGGCAAAGGACGTGAACAATACAAAAAGTACATTTGTGAAACATTAATTGAAATTCCTTGAGCCCAAAATTATAAACACAACGCATATTTATAAATATTATCATTTATCAAAAAAAATATTATCATTGTTTTCTTTAAATAAAGAAATCATTTAAATGAATAAATTCGAAAGAGGTGTGAAATACAAGCATGAAAAATTTATGGAATCTATACATAAAATCATTATTTTAGAATATGTCGTGGATAAAAATTATTGTTATAGTGACTTGTCACGTGAACATAACAAGTTCTAATAAAAAATATATTTTATAAAATTCGTCTTTGAAAACTCATCATCCATTGTGACGAATTTCAATAAAAATATATTTTATTGAACTCATCATGTCCACTTCGACAAGTTCCTAATTTACTATAACAAATACCATAGATCATACATTTCCCTAGTTTTGTCCAAATCCTTGAAACCAAAATATACATATTTATTACTATTAGTTTTCCAGATAAATGAGTCATTTAAAATTATATATTCTAAATATGGGTCAATACTAGGTCAATCCTTTTTGGGCTCGGCATACTTCTGAGCTCATACAACCTAAGCTCAAGTAGACTAGTTTAGACGACAGGTCACTCAATCCAGTGGCAATTGGGTCACACTAAGCTTGAATCAAACCAAAAATGGGCTCGATAGTTAGGTTCAGGCTGACAAAATAAACCAGCTGACAAGAGGGCTTCCTAATTTGAGCTACAAGAAATTGAGTCAAACCAAAGTTGAAGTTTGCTGAGGAACTACTACATTTTGGTTTGTCGCAGGCCAGAAAGTAGAAATTTATTGCGTAGTTGAGACCAGATCAGTTGAAGGGACAACTTTTAGAGGATCATCAAAACCATGAATCAAGAACAATATATCATAAATATAGATGCCAACAAATTCAGTATATATATATATATATATATATATATATATATATATATATATTGAAGTCCCCTGGAGTTGGCATGAAAGAGGAAATAGGGAAAAATCTTCAACAAGTTACCTGATTTCCAAAATCAAATGTGGGATGATTAGTAGCAAAGGTGGTCTTAACACTGGAGTTGGCATGGGCATCAGAATCAGTAGAATGGTTTTCAGGTGTAACTGGGACGATGGCAAATGAATCAGACCGAACATCCAGTGAGTCTCTTTCAGCATCGGTTGAAGCAGAGGGCACAACAGTGGTTGGAGCAAATGTAATTGATGAGAAATAGAAAGATTAATTGCAATACAACAGGGTTCAGCAGGATTCCAATCTAAGTTCCTCAAAACAAGAATGTTTGTTCCATACAATCACATGGAACTCCAAACAGTAATTTCATTTTGAATTGAGCATATAAAATTCAAAACTGAAATCAGTCACCAAAATAGTATTTTATGTTTTAATTTAAAACTGTCACAAGTTCGTAACTAACAACAAAAGGTCTAGCTTCCCCAAAAAGGAATATCCCCATTTAAATGACTAACCACCATTTGGCAAAACTTTCTACAATAACCATCATCTTGCAAACTTTTTTTTGGAACATGTTATAACATAGAAATGAACAACATCTACAGAAACAATGTAATATTCACCCTTGCTCGAATACCTTTCCACAAGAATCTTTGTTTTCTTTATTCGAGAAGTTGGTTTATGTTTCATTATTGTCCTTTAATTGTAGAAATCAGAGTAATTATCTGTATTTTCTTATTAATTCAATAGGACATATTGCATCTTTATATATACAAATTATATCTCTAAATTAGGAAACTCTAAGTTAGGAAAGATACTAATCCTAGGAGATATGATCCCTTAAAATAAGGGATTGTAAAAAAAAGGAATATATACAGAATCCCTTAACTGAAGGGATGGTAACAGCTCATATATTTCTATAATTCCTACATTAATTATTGAGCAATACCTGATATTGTTGTTGTCTTCGTAGTCTAATTGAATTACCATTTGAAACCGTTGCTCGGTGATAGCTAGTTATCCTGGAGTTGTCCTCTAACTCAGAAAAAAATATCTTATGCATCCAAAACATAAGAGACTTATCAATTATCGATTTCAGTCATTTAATTTATCATGTATATCCATTTACAAGAAAAATCAACCTTATGGGAAAAAAGAAGTAAATTCCACTAACGTGAGAAGGAATATCTAATTGGATATACCTTCGAAGAATTGCTAACAATCATGCACTCCAAACCATTAACTATTTTAAGTCCTTCAGTCGCCCGACATGTTGAGGATAGATCATCACCACCCGCACATTTGCGTATATTCCTGCAAACATCATACTTATATATCATGATAACTTCACGAAGTAAATGCTGATAAACATATAACTCTTGAAGAAAATCCCGGGCTTCTCTTTTTTCTCAGGAACTACAGAGAGAGTCATTGTGCAAATATGCTGCAAAATTAGGGTCTATGGAAACAGCTGTCACTTCAGGCTTATCATGTCCGTAGTCCATAAGCTGGATGGAAAGAAGTGCATTCCCTAAACATGTCAAAACTAGGGCATGGAAACAGCTGTTACAGATGGAATTGTGGCATCCTTGACACTGTTAAGTAGTGCATCCCTAAACTTGTTCCATTATCATTTCGATCCCCTGTGTAAGCTGCTTCTGCTTTTGAGGTGGAATTATTGGAAGAAGCAGCAAAGGTTCCCCACGGACTGCAATTTCAGTTAGAAAATTACAACAAGACAAAGTTTATATACCAGACAATAAACGAGATAACTAGATCCTGGACAAAACAATTTACCTCTGAACTTCTTGGATGCTATTGCAGTCAGGAATACCTTCAGCACTTGCAGTACTGCAGTAAACTAAGAACAAGGTTAACAGACACAAGAGTCCACACCTGTCAGTAGAAGAACTATCAACACAACCATAAACCATATTCAATATAACTTGATATGTCTAGGAGATTTCTTTACATGAAAAATTGTCTTTGCATAATTTTCTACAACAAAGTACTCTGCAGTAATTAGAAAACTAGCATCAGTAACTTATCCTGATTGACATAAACTCTTACTTGAATCTTTGGTGCAACTTTGTTTATATACTCTTGTCGCCTCTAACGATAAAGGTTTTAAGTTCTTCACAAGTTTATGTCAGTCTTCTAATTGGCAATTTGTGCAGATATCATGGTCAAGTTGAAAGCGTTCAGGGAAATTTTGAGTTGTCTCATAAAACATGCTCTTAGAAGGTGAAAGCTTGAGAGATGGATAAAATGGTCAAGTAGCGATGAAACATTGTGACCAAACCTCACGGAGGAATTTGTTGCTAGTTCTTACGCAGTATTCTTCTTAGCAGCCAATATTACAAAAAGGATCCTCAAAATACTGAGGAATCTTGGCATTTCTCCCCCTGAAAACATAAAAAAACCCAATGACATATGTGACAAATGGTATACAGGAAAAGAGTAATTAGTTCTTACTCGCATGGTTTTTGGCAGAGTTTGCAAAGTAGTTCATCAGTCAAGGTCCAACCATGAATACACTCTTTCTCCTTTTTACTTTAAGAGGGACCTTTTTCCAGACAACATTGGGAGGTAAAGAAACATATTTATCTCACAACACTGGTTATGATTTTTTTTTTTTTTGATAGAATATAGGCCTCATTAAAAAACCCCTTCATATCCTACATGTTATATAAGTACCATGAAGGAAATAGGAAGGAGGAAAAGACCGCCTCTGAATTATATTAATCTGGAACATAACATACAACCAAACCATAACCATTGTCTGCTTAAAACATAAGACTTAACAACCTAAACACAAACTGCAGCACTAAAACCATACTCCTTAAAAAACTGAATGGACACCACAGCCTAAAAACAATAACTCATAACCACAGATCATCCTATACCAGCTTTTGCTAACTCATTCGCTTCCCAGTTAGCAGCTCTCACAATATGTCTTAAAATGATGCCCTTTCCTTCCACATTTTTAGCTACGCCTCTTACCAACGACTGAAACAACAGGGTACATAAGTCTGGATTTTTAATCCACTTCAGACGTTTGGCCAACCCTATTATTGTACCCCATCAATAATGTGGAAGAAATACCTCTTACCAATAAAGATGCAAGAACTTAAATCCAGCTTTTGCTAACATTGGTTATGATTATTATTGCTAGCAGGTGGAAAAGCCCCGTCAATAGCTACTACAGAAGTTTGGCCAACCCTATCAACAAAAAATTTCAGTATGCGACATCAAGCAAAGCACAATTGCAAGTAACATGTATCTGAAAAGAAATACCTTTCATCATGGGTAGGAATCCGAATCCCACTTAGTGCTTCTACATAACTAGGAGCACCATTATACATCAGGAAGCTAAAAGTTAACCAAAAGCAGAACCTAATTAAGAGAAAAAATAATATGGATGAATGGATAATGAACAAGTGTCATGTAATTCACCAGAAAGGAATATATCATATTACCTCCTATACACAGTAGACGACCGTGGCTCAAATACCACCACCAACTTAGATAGATTTAACTTACAATTTCTAGAGCTCCATTAAAATCTATTTCTTTATTTGGCTGGTCATATATATATATATATATATATGAATGATACTACATTGAACCATGATTTCATTTAGAAAGAACAAAAGTTTCCACTTGCTTGCCACTGTGAACTCTTTCACCCGATCCTTAATGCATGTGTCTATGTAATTAATGCATGACCTGACAGCCAAACACAAACCCGAAAAAAATGTCTGATGATGTTTCTTTTTTTTAAAAAAAAACTATTTAGATTGGAGTATAAGAAATTGGATTTAACCCATGCAAGAATTTGCTTTATGTTTCATTTTTGTCCTTTTAAGTTTTAATTATTGAAGAAACAGAACATAGCAACACAATGATTCAGACGTACCATATATACTTATGCTAGCGTAGAATATGCCAGGAGCAATCTCTTATATCACTGCAGTAAATCATTTTCCCTCATTTGGAGTTGACAATTCTAGAGGCAAAAACTGGAAGTTTGTTGATGGAGGTTGAACACTAAACATGCTAGTTGTGAAGTAAGCATTGCCAGAGAATGAGTCCCCAAAGATGATGTCCGCGGCTGTCTCCAAATTAGCAAAAGGGGGTTGAGGAACAACATTTTGAATTGTTGCAGGACAAAAGTAGGCATGTAAGTAGAAATTTGTTGTGCAGTTGGAACATCAGTTGAAGGGACATCTTTAAAAGGATCATCACCAAATGGATCTTCAAAACCCTGAATCAAGAACAATATAACATAAATATAGATGGCAACGGATTAACTAAAATATGTATTTTGAAGTCCACTAGGATCAAAGAATCATATTACTTGATTTCCAAATTTAAATGTCGGCTGATTTCCAAATTTAGTAGCATAGTTTTCAGGTTTAACTGAGACAATGGCAAATGAATCAGACTGAACATCCAGTAAGTTTGTTTCAGCACTGGTTGAAGCAGAGGGAACAGCAGTAGTTGGAGCAACTGTAATTGATGAGAAATAGAAAGATTAGTTCCAGTTATAGTGGATAAATACAACAGGGTTCAACAGGATTCCAATCTAAGTTCCTCAAAACTGAAATGTCACCAAAATAGCCTTTTATGTTTTAATTTAAAACTTTCACTAGTATGAAACTAACAGCAAAAGGTTTAGCTCCCCAAAAAGTAATATCCCCATTTAAATGACTAACTATTTGGCAAGACTTTCTACCATAATCACCATCTTACAAACTTCTTTTTTCAGGTTGGAACATGCTAAATATAGATGGCAGCAGATTAACTAAAATATATATATTGAAGTCCACTAGGATCAAAGAATCATATTACCTGATTTCCAAATTTAAATGTCGGCTGATTTCCAAATTCAGTAGCATGGTTTTCAGGTGTAACTGGGACAATGGCAAATGAATCAGACTGAACATCCAGTAAGTTTGTTTCAGCACTGGTTGAAGCAGAGGGAACAACAGTAGTGGAGCAACAGTAATTGATGAGAAATAGAAAGATTAGTTCCAGTTATAGGGGATAAATGCAATAGGGTTCAACAGGATTCCAATCTAAGTTCCTCAAAACTGAAATAAGTCACCAAAATAGCCTTTTATGTTTTAATTTAAAACTTTCACTAGTACGAAACTAACAGCAAAAGGTTTAGCTCCCCAAAAAGTAATATCCCCATTTAAATGACTAACTATTTGGCAAGACTTTCTACCATAACCATCATCTTACAAACTTCTTTTCTCAGGTTGGAACATGCTAAATATAGATGGCAACGGATTAACTAAAATATATATATTGAAGTCCACTAGGATCAAAGAATCATATTACCTGATTTCCAAATTTAAATGTTGATTGATTTTCAAATTCAGTAGCATGTTTTTCAGGTGTAACTGGGACAATGGAAAATGAATCAGACTGAACATCCAGTAAGTTTGTTTCAGCATTGGTTGAAGCAAAGGGAATAGCAGTAGTTGGAGCAACTGTAATTGATGAGAAATAGAAAGATTAGTTCCAGTTATGAGGATAAATGCAACAGGGTTCAACAGGATTCAAATTTAAGTTCCTCAAAACTGAAATAAGTCACCAAAATAGCCTTTTATGTTTTAATTTAAAACTTTCACTAGTACGAAACTAACAGCAAAAGGTTTAGCTCCCCAAAAAGTAATATCCCCATTTAAATGACTAACTATTTGGCAAGAATTTCTACCATAACCAACATCTTACAAACTTCTTTTTTCAGGTTGGAACATGCTAAATATAGATGGCAACGGATTAACTAAAATATATATATTGAAGTCCACTAGTATCAAAGAATCATATGACCTGATTTCCATATTTAAATGTCGGCTGATTTCCAAATTCAGTAGCATGGTTTTCATGTGTAACTGGGACAATGGAAAATGAATCAGACCAAACATCCAGTAAGTTTGTTTCAGCATTGGTTGAAGCAAAGGGAACAGCAGTAGTTGGAGCAACTGTAATTGATGAGAAATAGAAAGATTAGTTCCAGTTATAGGGGGATAAATGCAACAGGGTTCAACAGGATTCCAATCTAAGTTCCTCAAAACTGAAATAAGTCACCAAAATAGCCTTTTATGTTTTATTTTAAAACTTTCACTAGTATGAAACTGACAGAAAAAGGTTTAGCTCCCCAAAAAGTAATATCCCCATTTAAATGACTAACTATTTGGCAAGTCTTTCTACCATAACCATCATCTTACAAACTTCTTTTTTCAGGTTGGAACATGCTAAATATAGATGGCACTGATTAACTAAAATATATAATATTGAAGTCCACTAGGATCAAAGAACCATATTACCTGATTTCAAAATTTAAATGTCGACTGATTTTCAAATTTAGTAGCATGGTTTTCAGGTGTAACTGGGACAATGGCAAATGAATCAGACCGAACATCAAGTAAGTTTGTTTCAGCACTAGTTTAAGCAGAGGGAACAGCAGTAGTTGGAGCAACTGTAATTGATGAGAAATAGAAAGATTAGTTCCAGTTATAGGGGATAAATGCAACAGGGTTCAACAGGATTCCAATCTAAGTTCCTCAAAACTGAAATAAGTCACCAAAATAGCCTTTTATGTTTTAATTTAAAACTCACTGGTACGAAACTAACAGCAAAAGGTTTAGCTCCCCAAAAAGTAATATCCCCATTTAAATGACTAACTATTTGGCAAGACTTTCTACCATAACCATCATCTTACAAACTTCTTTTTTCAGGTTGGAACATGCTAAATATAGATGGCAACGAATTAACTAAAATATATATATTGAAGTCCACTAGGATCAAAGAATCATATTACCTGATTTCCAAATTTAAATGTCGGCTGATTTCCAAATTCAGTAGCATGGTTTTCAGGTGTACCTGGGACAATGGCAAATGAATCAGACCAAACATCCAGTAGGTTTGTTTCAGCATTGGTTGAAGCAAAGGGAATAGCAATAGTTGGAGCAACTGTAATTGATGAGAAATAGAAAGATTAGTTCCAGTTATAGGGGATAAATGCAATAGGGTTCAACAGGATTCAAATTTAAGTTCCTCAAAACTGAAATAAGTCACCAAAATAGCCTTTTATGTTTTAATTTAAAACTTTCACTAGTATGAAACTAACAACAAAAGGTTTAGCTCCCCAAAAAGTAATACCCCCATTTAAATGACTAACTATTTGGCAAGACTTTCTATACCATAACCATCATCTTACAAACTTCTTTTGTTAGGTTGGAACATGCTATAACATAGAAATGAACAGCATCTACAAAAACAATGTAATCTTCACCCTTGGTCCACATTGACCTTCGTTTAGCGCATTGTTCTGCAGTTACAACAGCATGACAAGTCACACAAAGAGACCTCATATTCTATAGCCTGCATTCACCTGAAATTTTGGATACATCATGAAAACCAACATTAAGCTCAATTTAACAGAACAACAGTAAAACAAGTAGTTGAGAGCAAAGAAAAAGTATGTTCATGAACATATACCCCCCATAAACAAGGATATCGTGGTCGGCATGCCATGCATTGTCATCAGAAGGATCACTAACAAGTTTGTCGACCCTGCAAAAGGTAAATTAGGAAATTGGTTCGTAGAAAATATTGAGATCTGGAAAGTAATAGTGAATGACTCAACTTATGTGGACATTTGCCTACAAAATTGTTCAATAGTTGATATATCTAGGTGATTTCTTTACATGAAAACTTAAATTGTCTTTGCATAATTTTCTACAACAAAGTACTCTGCAGTAATTAGAAAACTAGCATCGCTAACTTGTCTTGATTGACATACAAGCTCTTCTGACTTGCATCTTTGGTGAAACTTTGTTTATATACTCCTGTCACCTCTCTAACGAATAAAGGTTTTAAGTTCTTCACAAGTTTATGGAAGTCTAATTGGCAATTTGTGCAGATATCATGGTCAAGTTGAAAAAGTTCCAGGAATTTTTGAGTTGTCTCATAAAACATGCTCTTAAAACCGCCATCCAGTATCTTCAGGAGTGCTCCATGAAAATTCTTCTATTTTCATTGTTATCTAATTTTGCTTAGAGCGTGTGAGAGACAATTTCTTCAGATCTAGAATTTCTCCATGTTGAGGTGCATAATATAAAAAAATGGTGAGAGAGAGAGTCTTAGGAGGTCCGCACTCCGGCGAGGATTGGACGGTGTTTGTAGATTATCTTAGCAAGAGAGTCACTTGGAGATCATTAAAGGAAATTTTTAGTCACCATGGGAGTGTTGTGAGAGTTTATATCTCGAATAGTTCTAACAAACCAAATTATAGAGATCATTCATTTGCGTTCGTTCAGTTTGCGAAGGAGAAAGGAATGCTGAAGGCGATAGAGAAGGTCAATGGTACTTGGATTGACAGGAAGAGAGTTTCGGTATGTGTAGCTAAATATCGGAGGCAGAGGTCCTTGCAAGTTGGTGGAAGTAAGTCCAGAAAAGATGAAGATAAGTCGACTAAGGGAGCGAAACAGAGGAGTAGAGCGGGATCTGAGTCTTTTAGTCGGTTTAGGGATGAGAGGTCATATATGGTTGCTTTAACCTCGTCTGATGGGATGAGGAAAGTTCCGGTTGATGAAAAGGGTAGGGAGGGTCACCCTTGTAAAGATAATGGAATAAGAAATCTTTGGGAGATGCAAATTCCCTCTGATGAAAGGGATTGGGTGAAGAGAGCATTGACTGGGATTATCAAACCTCACTTTGATCTGGAGCTAGTGCTGAAGGGATTGGCAAGTGATGGGTTCAAGGTTAAGGGAGCTAGATGGGGTTATGCGTGGAACTCTTGCATATTAACCTTTGATTCGGAGGAAGATTTTAAAGAGGCGTGGTCGAGCAGATTAGTGGAATTGTCCTTCTGGTTTGATTGGATTGATATCCTTCTGAATGATGACGGGATACCGATGGCTTTCTGTTCAGTTGAGTTAATTGGTATCCCGTTATTATGCTGGAATGTCCTCTTTATGGAGAAACTTGCCTCAAAGTGGGGGAAGCTAGTCTGTATCCACGATTCGACGGTGAAAAGAGAGGACATGGCGGTGGCCAGGGCCTTGCTGAGGGTGGCCAGTCCCTATGATGTTCAGGAGTCTGTTACGCTGGGCTCGTATGGGAGATCTTTCAAAGTTAAAATTAACGTGGGGTCGGTCTTTATTAAACAGGAAAGTTTTTCGGTAGGAAATTCAATGGTTGCCGGAGAGGATAGGTCCAGAGATGATGAATTTTCAGAGGAGGAAGAAGAACAATGCTCTGTTGGGGGTGGTAGACCAGACTTGCCAGTTGAGGATACTAGGGACAGAGTAGACAGATGGTTAGTAGGGGATGTAAGTTCAGCTTTAGTAGGCGATGAAGCCGGCCAGAATTTAATGTGGAAGGAGGGAAAAGGTCAATCTAGTGGAGAAAAGGTGTCAGACTTTCCAGCAGAGGATTTGAATTTGAGAGGGAATTATCAGGGTATTGGGATTAGGAGTAATTTGTCTAATGAAAATGATAAGGCCCAATTAGAGGACTTGAGTGAGCCCATTAGACTTTCTACGGCTGGGCCAGTTGTTATTTTAAATCAGCTGGGCTGTAGTAATCTAAAAGAATCTGGGGTGGTGGAACTTGGAGACTTACAGCAAAAGGAGATGAAATACTCAAATAGGCAGGGTCGGGATAGAGTTACGCCTGTTTGCGTACCATATGTGCTTAATGATGGTACGAACGTCAGTTTTCAGACTATTGTTACTAATGAGGTCTTGATGGAGGAAAGAGTAATTCGGGATAAAGGAGGGGGTAATGCGGACGGAACAAAGGTGGAAAGGGTTGAAAATCCAGTTATACTAGCTGGTTTCCAGGGGCGGATTATAAAGAAAAAGAAGTTAAGGATTGTTCCAACGTGGTCTGATAGTTCTGGTTTGGAGGGTGAAGTGTCATTTAGTTTTCATGATCGAGTTTATGAAAGACTTGATAGAGGTCTGGATAGGGAAAGTATGGATCGAACAAGTGTTAATTCAGCGCCCCCAAACAAATCTATCGAAGCAAGATTGGAGGCTGCTGCTTCTAGAGATGTTTGTGATATGTTGGGGATCTCTTTCAAAGGGGGTAATCAAATTCTGGAAAAGGAGATCTTGAAGATGGAGCTTAGTGAGAATAATAGAAGCTCTTGACTGATTTTTTCAGGATAGTAAAGGTTTCTTGCTTTTATTAATTATGTCACAAATCAAATTGATTTCATGGAATGTGAGAGGGCTTGGAAAAAAGGAAAAATCAAGAGCTGTTGCTAGATTAGTTTCAAAAATCAAACCGATGATTCTGTTTCTTCAGGAAACTAAGTTGAATAAGTCGAAAGGGATTGTTGAGGAAACTAGGGGGTAGTTTCCTAAAAGGGTCTAGCTTTCAGCCATCTACTGGTTCTGCAGGGGGTTTAATCTGTCTGTGGAACGAAAATCTGTTTGAAGTTAGCAGGGAGTTTAAGCATAATAGGTTCATTGCTTTATCAGGAAAGGTTAAGAGTGTTAACTTTGATTGTGTTGTTATTAATGTGTATGGGCCGTCGGTTGAGACTGATAAAGAGGAGTTTTTAAGTGAGCTAATGTGTTTTACACAACGGCTTGATTTGCCTGTATGCTTAGGGGGGGATTTCAATGTTTATCTAGATCCCGAGGAGAAGATTGGAGTTGAACAGAATTGGCATTCAATGGAGTTATTTTCCAACTTTGTCCTTAATCTTAACCTTATGGATCTTCCTTTAGTTGGAGGGAGATTTACTTGGTGCAACAATAGAGAAGCTTCAACGTGGATTAGATTAGATCGGTTTCTATTAAGTGGTGCATTTTTTCAGGTATTTCCAAAAGTTATCCAGAAATTGTTGCCGAAATCCTTATCTGATCATAACCCTATAATTCTGGAAGATGATCACAACAATTGGGGCCCTAAACCTTCTCGGTTTTTTAACTATTTACTAGAGGATGAAGGGTTTGATGGGTTGGTTAATAATGATGTGTATGATTTAAAGAGGGAGAATGCACGAAGGGGTATGTTGAGTATTCTTCAAGGAACGAAGAAAGCTATTAAGAAGTGGCCATACAACAATAATATGGGGATTTCAGAAAAGATTTCAGAGCTCGAAAATAGGATAAACGACTTGGAATTAAAGGCTCAAGGTAGGGGAATTTCAACACAAGAGTGGGGTCAACTAGTAGCTTGGAGGAATGAATTGTGGGGTCTGCATAGGAAGGAGGAGAGTATCTGGTTCCAAAAATCACGAAATAAATGGATTAAGGATGGGGATAGAAATACCAGATTTTACCACATTTGCGCTCTGAATAGGAGCAGAATGAATGCTATTTCGTCTTTGAAAGTGGCTGGGATTGATATTTCTGATCCCAGCATGATTAAATCGGTTATCTTTGATTACTTTAAAGTAAATTACAATGAGATAACATCTCTGGAGGTGGATGAATGTAATCTGAATTTTGCCAAATTGACCGTGGAACAAAAGGCTGGATTAGAGGTTAGTATCACTGAACAGGAAGTGTGGGATGCTGTCTTTAAGGCGGACAGTGCTAAGGCACCTGGTCCGAATGGATTTACTATGGGTTTCTTTAAAAAATATTGGACTATACTGAAAGACCTTGTCATGCAGTTTGTTCAAGATTTTTAAAGAGGGAAATTATGGGAAAAGGGAGTGAATCATTCCTTTATTACGTTAATTCCAAAGAAGGTTAATCCACAGGGAATTGAGGACTTCAGACCTATTAGTCTCGTTGGCAGTCTCTACAAGATTATTTCTAAAATACTATCGAAAAGGCTAGTCTCTGTTATTCAAGGTTTGGTTAGCCCTTCACAGTTCTCATTTATTCCGGGTAGACAGTTGCTAGATTGTGCACTTTTGGCAAATGAAGGAATCGAATATTGGAGAAAACAAGGGAGGAAAGGAATTGTCTTTAAAGCTGACTTCCGTAGGGCCTATGATTCGGTTGAGTGGCCTATCTTATTCAGGATTTTGAAGGACATGGGTTTTGGGGATAAATGGATCTCATGGATTAAATGTTGTGTTTCAACTGCATCTATTTCGGTGTTAGTTAATGGTTCCCCTACCGAGGAATTCAATATTAGTAAAGGGTTGAGACAAGGGTGCAGCCTATCCCCTCTCCTATTCAATTTAGTGGGGGAATTATTAAATCTTATGTTGATTAAGGCAGTTGATAAAGGTCTGTTTCAAGGGTTTAGCATTGGTAGGATTGGTAATTCCTTCCAGTTGACTCACCTGCAGTTTGTTGATGATTTAATACTCTTCTGCAGCGATTCAACAATGCAATTTCTAAATTTGAGAAGAGTTTTGAGGGTCTTCGGTGTGATGTCTGGGGTGCATTTAAATCTGTCAAAGTGTACTGTATTTGGGGTTAATATGGATGCTGACACGGTTCAGGATTGTGCTAGGAAAGCAAGATGTGGAGTGGGGTCTTTTCCAATGTCTTATCTTGGTTTACCGATTGGAGCTAGGAAAAATTCAGTGGGTATGTGGGAACCGGTTGTCCAGAATTTTAATAAGAAGTTAGCTGGGTGGAAAGTAAATTCACTGTCGTTGGCGGGCAGACTTGTTTTGGTTAAATCCGTGCTTTCATCCTTGCCAATGTTTTACCTATCTATTTTCAAGATTCCACACAAAGTGTCTCAGAAGTTGAACTCGCTGATGGCCAACTTCCTTTGGGGTGATGATCTTGAGAAAAAAACGAATCCACTGGGTGAATTGGAAATCGGTTTGTCAACCAATCGAAGAGGGTGGTCTGGGAATACTAGATTTAAGGGTGATTAATAGGGTCCTTCTAGGGAAATGGGTTTGGAAATTTGCCAATGAAAAATATAGTCTGTGGAAGAATCTGATTTGCAGCAAATCCAACGTTAGCAGTTTGTCTCTCTCAATTTCAGAAGCGACTACACCTTTTGATTCCTGGATATGGAGAGGTATCCTCAGTAACTATAATAAGAATGATCAGATTGGTGGTTGCTTGAGAAATAATTCAAAGGTCATTGTAGGAAATGGGCGGTCGATTGCTTTTTGGAATGATGTTTGGATTACTAATTTGCCTTTAAAAAGACAATTCCCAAGAATTTATGCTTTGTCGACAAACAAATGGGGGATGGTCTCTGAGTTTGGTGAGTATGAAGATGATGTTTGGGTTTGGAATATACAACTTAGAAGAATTTTGTGTGATTGGGAATTGGACCAGTGGATTGCTTTTATGTCTTTGATTGACAAGTCGTCACTGTCACGATGTGTGGATGATTTTTTGGGTTGGTCAGGAAAGGGGGATGGCATTTTCTCGGTCAAATCTTGTCGATTATCGTTACAAGATAGGTCTGAAGGGAGTTTTGTATGGAAAAAGTGGGTTTGGGATGGATTGGCGCCTCCAAGAGTACAAACTTTATTATGGCAGATCTGTCATCAGAAAGTAGCAGTGAGAGTGGAATTGAAGAGAAGAGGACTTCAGATTTCGGATATTCTTTGTCCACTGTGTCATGCTCAGGATGAAACTATTGCACACCTGTTCCTATCGTGCCCTATTGCCTCGGATTTGTGGAGTAAATTTCTAAGGTTATGGAATATCTCTACGGTGTTGCCTAAAGACCCTTCTTCAATTTTGTGCTCGTGGTCGAACCTAAGGAATAATTCCCTTATTTGGAGGTTTATTCCGGCTGTCATCTTTTGGTCTATTTGGAAGGCCAGAAATCAGGTTGTATTTGAAAACGGCAAATGTGACTCTTCTGTTCTGTTCTTCATTACTAGATTTAGATTGGCTAAATGGTTCTTGGCTAAATACCCTGGGGTTCGGATTCTGACAGACCTTCTAGTAGGGGATCCTACGCGGGCGGATAAATTACTCTCTAATCCGAGTTCTAAGAAGGTTATTTGCTGGTCTCCTCCTCCATCAGATATGTTCAAACTCAATGTTGACGGGGCAGTGACTGCAGATGGGATGCAGAGTGGTATTGGTGGTGTTTTGAGAGACTCCTACAGCTGCACTTTAGCTAATTTTTCTTCCGCAGTGGGCCCTGGTCCCCCTATACTATCTGAACTGAAAGCTATTAAGAAAGGATTGCTCTTCTTCTTTTCATCCGATTGGGCCAACAAGGGAAGACTTATTTTGGAAAGTGATAACAAATATGCAGTAGATTGGATTTTAAAACGGCAACCTACCCCTACTATTTTCAGTGAGTTGGTGGAGGAAATTGGAGTTCTTGTTACTACAAAGGGAGTTGTTCTGAGATGGGTTTCTAGGAGTTGCAATATGGAGGCAGATAGGTTTGCTAAACAGGGAATCGGTTGAGTGTTGAAGGCTTAGTGTTGTACTATACGATAGTGTTGGTGTGGGGTTAGGCTGATGGGTGATTTTTTCCCATCGCTATTTGTATTATGGTCATGTTGTATTTTCGAGGGTTAGAGTGTTATGTTTATCCTGTGTTTCTCAGGATCAGGATGTATTGTGTATCTTATGTAATTCTGGTTTATCAATAAAATGAAGTGCTCTTTTCCTCCCTCAATTAGTTTACATCAAATGTAAACTATGAGGGAGGTTCCTAATGAGTCCTCCTATTCCTATCAAAAAAAAAAAAAAAAACATGCTCTTAGAAGGTGAAAGCTTGAGAGATGGATAAAATGGTCAAGTAGTAAAGAAACATTGTGACTAAACCTAACGGAGGAACTTGTTGCTAGTTCTTAGGCCGTATTCTTCGTAGCAACCAATATTACAAAAAAGATCTTCAAAATACAAAGGAATCTTGGCATTTCTCCCACTAAAGACATAAAGAAAGCATGTGACAAATGGTATACAGGAAAAGATTAATTAGTTCTTACTCACATGGTTTTTGGAAGAGTTTGCAGAGTGGTTCATCATTCTTTCTCCTTTTTACTTTAACTACGCCGTAGATGGACCTTTTTGCAGACAACATTGGGAGGTAAAGAAACATTTTTCTTACAAAAAGGTGTAGTTCGCCGCTTGCTCCCACCTTTCACCAGTCCCTGCAATATAATTACAAAGCAACAACTTAAGTCATTCATAATGAAAGAAAGAAGATATTCCATAGCAGAATACATGTTATTCATACATACCCCATATTCTGGTTAATGCTTTCCTTCAAGTAGCATAACTAAGCAGACAGAGGGCGTTGCAAAGGCTTTCCACGTAATTTTCCTTGTTGGGTTTCAGTTTATTTCATTCAAGGCTAAATGAGCATGCCTAGATGCTGGGTTGTCCATAAAATATTTGCAAATTGTCTTTATTATCACAAGCAAGAGCATTTTCTATTGCAAATTGTATTTATTATCACAATTAAGAGCATTTCCTAACTCGATTTCCTCTTGTCGAAAATTCTCAAACAGTCGCACCGGTCTAAAATCCTTCCCTGGGATGCAAGAATACAGGTGGATTCTTCCAATATATTGGCTTACCTACACATTACAAGTACAATATCAATGTTTCAGACGAGAAACCCACCAGATATTTAATTTACAACTGTTTAAATTGCTGGTCACTAACTATTCCATCATTGTTGAAACCTAGATTAAGTCATCTATTTGAGAGAAGAGGGAAATTTTCAAATGATGTTTTTTATCTCTATAAAGAGATGAGTTCTCTTAGAGAATTAAGGATGCATGTGGGTGAAGGACTAATAGCAAGGTATAAATCTAAGAGAATTTCAATGAAAATGCATAACCCAGGAAGATTTGACTGTCCGTTGATATACTATGCAGACTGATATTAGCAGCAACTACTTATCATTATAATTGCTTTCTGGGCTGATTTTAGAAACTAATTTGCAAGTCCAGGTTGGCTTGCTTCCTTGTTTGACATGTACATTGGGACAGCTATAATTATTCTTCGTTCTCTGAAAATCCTATAAATTCTATAACATAAATTCTGAAAAGAGTTCTATAAAATAACTTTGTACTACCATAAAATCTGTGAAATTAAAAGGAAACGAGTCACCAAGTTAATGTCTGTCTACAATTCTACCAACACTAGAAGTTTTGCTTAATGCAAAAAAAGAAGAAAGAAAGTAGAATCTACAATCAGGTAAAGATTGTTTACCTCAAACCGCAGACAAACAAATTGAATAGAAAATTCAGTCTGATGGCTGCACCGGTGCACCATCATCTGCTGTGATTTCTTGTCCTTGCATTAACATCAAAATTAAAATAGTTATTTTAAGAAAAAATCTAAAGGACAGAATCGTTTTGCTGTATTGAGAGAAATTTTCAGTTAGATACCTTTGGCACTGGATCATAATCTTCGCTTCTGTTATCAATTTTAAGAGCGGATATGTCACAAAGTCCAATATCATCTGCCGAACGATGCAATTCTTTTTCGTCTCTCATGGAATTAGGATTTTGGTTTTTTAGATCAAGAAACACACCACCCTATATAACAACAGAAGGCATGATTAGCTTGTAAAAAAAGAGGAAAATTGCTCAAAAGTAAACCAGTGAGGGGAACGGCACAAATTCCCTTGATCAGGAAAATAGAAGCAGCAAATGTATCCGAAAGGGTTAGGTTAGCTGACATGTAGTTATTTTCTTTATGTTCTTGGTCAGGGAAAGCTCAAGTATGCAGGTCAACCATAATCTTCACTTCTGTTATCAATTTTAAGAGCGTATATGTCACGAATTCCAATATCATCTGCAGAAGAATGCAATTTTTTTCGTCTCTCATGGAATTAGGATTTTGGTTTTTTAGATCGAGAAACACACCACCCTATATAACAACAGAAGGCATGATTAGCTTGTAACAAAGAGGAAAATTGCTCAAAAGTGAACCAGTGAGGGGGAAGGCACTAATTACCTTGATCAGAAAAATAGAAGCAGCAATGTATCAGAAAGGGTTAGGTTAGCTGACATGTAGTTATTTTCTTCATGTGCTTGGTCAGGGGAAGCTCAAGTATGCAGGTTAACCATTCCAGTGAAGCTACTTCTAGTTTACATCTTTATGACTGTAGCTGTCACCAGTTAGATTCATTGTGTCAGAACTGTCATTCATTTCAGCAGTGACATCAGAAAAGGCTTCTGAAGGATGGGAACATTCAGGGTCTTGTAGCTGCTAGTCCGGTGAAAATTTTCTAGGAGGATCTTTCATCAAATTTTATGCTTACCATTTACATCAGGTGTTACCATATAAGAAATGCCTTCAACCTACCAAAACCAGAAGAATAAAGTTTGATATTTTACCAAAAAAATAATGAAACCATATGATGCCGCTAAACAAAACAAACCACCAATAAGTAATGTATTTTACCAAATATTGCATATCATGGTCGGAATGGAAATATGAAAATATTACTATGCAACATGCTGGTCAGATTAAGTTCTCAAAACAAATTCAGCTCTGGCAAAGACTGCAAGCAACCCTTTGCATCTATCCTTGGTGAAGGATATAGTTTCGAGTTTGACTGGAAAAGATATTATATTTAGGCATATTTTGAGGGCGGCAAACTGGGAAGCTGACAAACTAGCTAAAGATGGGATAGGGTGATTTTTGGGTTATATGATCGTGTTGATTAGCAGGAATTGTATTTTCCTGTTTGTTCGGTGGTTTGTTTTAAGTCTTATGTTCTTCAGTTGAAAGTTTAGGAGTTTGTTCAGTCTTTGTAATTTGGCTCTTGTGAATAAAAGTTTCTTGGCACTCTTTTCCTCCTTCTTTGTTCCGTCATGTTACCTTCATAACATGGCAGGGATTGAAGGAGGTTTTAATGAGGCCTACTTTCTATCAAAAAAAAAAAGACTGCAAGCAACACAGATTAATAACCATCTGCAGTATAATATTAATAGGAGTTTAACTGTGCTAGGCTAAAGCATTCTGATGCAATGTACTGCATACAACAAATATCAATAGCCACCATGTGCTTCACATGCAAGAGCAGTCGAAACAAAAATCATATAATCCTGATGTCTCCTTACCATAGACTGAAATTTGAAGAAAATTTCTGCTATAATAAAAGCACACCTTTGCACAAAAAATGTAAATGTTGACCTCACTTGTCTGCCTTCACCTGTGAAATCTATCCTCAGCCTGTAAGAGACATGGAAGGAGAAGTAAGACAACTTATCAAACTTGAGCAAGGTTGACTTGTGACTTGGCTTAAGAACATTAACCTGATGGTCAACCATAAACGATCATATATAGTAACAAAAAAACCAAGTCATATAAAAAGAGGTTAAAACCATCTATACCTCACTGTTGTAGCACCTATTGTATCCTCGGAAAGATATATCTTCCACATTAAGTGAGCCTACAACCAGACTTAAACCCTACAATAAAGACAATTAGATAGAAACTTTGTATCAATCGATGACACCAAAAGTTGTCTCCTATTTATAAAGCCAGTGAAATTAACTGATGAGAATAAACATAATTTTTTATAAGAATTGGAGGTCTCTTTAAAAAACCCCTTCATAATTGTAAAAACCGAAGAGGTTTAACGAAAAAAAGCGGAAGGGAGAAAAGAGTACCTCAAGTATTATTGAAAAAAGGGTTTTAGATAACCCCCAGGATTACAAAAAAAAGTTAATAACCACACCACTACCTATTTCCGAGACAAACAGATTCGATCATCTTACTCCCTAGAACTAACCGATCCCCATTTTTGCTAGCTCGTCCGCCTCCCAATTCACACTTCTTTGAATGAAACGAATTAGGACCTCATTACACCTAACAACAGACTCAATTTCCTTGACAATACACTCAAAACTTGAGGGACGCGCCAAGGGGTCCTTAATCCACTCTAGAGCCATCACGCAATCACATGAGAATAAACATAATGAACAAGTCACCAAACAAATTCAGTCAAATCATCATAATATATAGAGAATCACAACAACAAATGTAGAGATTGAGAGTCTACTTTATTTATTGGCATCTCTCTTACAGTCCTTGATCCAAATTGAGAAGTTTAAGCCATTGTAACATTACTGGCACAATGAAACCAATACACATATGATCCGTAATACAAAAAAAGATTTTCCACATGCCACATGTATTATGTAACCATTTTACAGATAAAGCATTTGTAAAAATGTAAAATACCTCACTAGCAAGAGGAACACATCCTTCAACTGATGTCACAACTGACCAGGCCACGGTTGACATGTTAAGCACAACAGTTTCAGATGCCCCTGGAAGAAGAGAGTAGTAAAAGCAATGAGGATCAGGGAGCAGTAATCAAAAATAAGCTTTTTCAAGCAATCAACAAATCCCACCAAAGCATTTTCTTTTCATCATATAAAAGTGAGACACTTGGCAGTATAATTATAAACTATAGTAACTCCAAACTAAGCATATAATGGGAAAATCATCCAAGGAACAATTAATAATAGTAATCTTCTATTTGATTTCGAAGTAAGACATTTACCACTTTTATTGTCTCCATGACCAACAATAAACCAGTTCTCCCCAATAGTCACACCTGCATGACCAGCCCTTGGCTTATGTTCCTTGATGGGTTATAGCAAAATGACTTATGTCCATTGAACATATGGATTCGCATTAGGCTGTGAGGAATGGCCGCAGAAATTAGCACCGGGTTTTGGCGGTTGACTATATGGATTAGAACTTGGCTGCACAGATTGACCATACACATTAACCCTCGACAGTGTAGGTCAAGAAGCTAGAATAACATAAACCGATATATCATTTTCCTGTTTTGGAGTTGACAATTTTGAGGCATAAACAGGGAGTTCGTTGATGGAGGTTGAACACTAGACACACTAGGTGCAGAGTAGTATTGGCAGAGAATGAGTCCCCAAAGTTGAAGTTTGTGATTGTCTCAGAATTTGTAAAAGGGGGCCGAGGAGCTACTACATTTTGGTTATGATTAAGCACAATTGCAAGTAACATATCTCTGAAAAGAAATACCTTTCATAATGGGTAGGAATTTGAATCTCACTTAGTGCTTCCACATAACTAGGAGCACCAACATCTGGGTCAAAATGCTTCCGCTCATGTTACACATCAGGAAGCTTAAAATTAGCCAGAAACAGAACCTAATTAAGAGAAAAAAAAGTAATATGGATGAATGGATAATAAACATATGTGTCAAGTAATACACCACAAAGGAATATATCATATTACCTCCTATATACAGTAGACGACCGTGGCTCAAATACCACCACCAACTTACACAGATTTAACTTACAAATAACAAAACAGCAGCTAATAATGCAGTAGAAAATTCAATAAAGCAAATACTAGAAAAGGGAGCGGAGCTGGGACTTTTTTAACCTCACAATGGTATTTAATTCACTGAAAATAAAAATTAGATTGACGGATAACAATTCTAAGAAAACATGTTAAATGAGAAGAAATCATAATCAAAGCACAATTATCATATAAAAGAAGATGAAGACATATAAAAACATATGTGGAGTATGGAGAGAGTACGGGACCAAAATTGCGAAAAATATTCTTACACAGCATCAAATTCATCCCAGGTCGGTTTCGAGGTCAAGTATATGTAGATCATTCCAGAGCGTTTGCTTTGCATCCTGCCAACCAAATATTGCTAAGATTGTTCTGACGAGGGTTACAAACTGACCACCATGAGCCACCTGCAATACACTGAAATTAAGGTGAAAAACTCATAACTATTGGGAAAGAATTTTCATAAAAAATACTACCATAAAGGGGCAGAAAACTATATAAACACACATATGCAGTCCACATTCTTGCTTCACAAGGTTTACCTCCAGCCTTTGTTCAAGCATACTAATATGTCTGTAAATTTTCAGCTAAACATTGCCTTTCAATCAAGATTCTATTATTTAGTTTTCAGTTTCTTATATAACTTATTCGATTGAGCGAGAAACATTAATTGGTATAAAAAAATCCAAAAGCTGGTCTAATTTTTTGTGAATAGAACAACAACCATGAACCTGCTAGTTTCTAAATATAGTTCTGTAATTTTTTTCTAGTTGTTAAAGGGGAAAGAAAGTTAACCAGAAGAAAAGATAAATACCGGTGCTTTTCCATAAGTTTTCAACATTGACCATGTGCCGGTTTGCAGTTCAAATGTCTTCACTGCCATAAGAATACAGAATGGTAGAATAAGAAAACATGGGAAAGATGCAGAAAAAATAGTTTCAAATTTTCAAATAGTTATAAGGGGAAAGAACGAGTACTCTGGATAGTTCCAGAAGGACCCTTTGAAAGGCCAGCAATTGAAAGGAACTTGTTCTCCCAAGGTATTTATCAGGAAAATAGAAGAGAGGGAGGGAGAGAATTAAATAATATAACTGCAGAAAGACAACCGGAACGAATTCAAGAACTTTGAGCAAACAACGATAAAGAAGCAATAAAAATAATTTGTTTTTCAATATTCCATTTCTATAAAAACAATTTTGAAATGAACACAAACTTCACTAAAGATATTCCTTCTAAAATCCATCAGATATGAAACAGAAACTCATACCCATTTTCTCATAAAAATGTAATAAGAGATTATCACTTGTAAATTCCACAACTACTCCAAAATCATAACTTATGTCCCAAGTACCATTCTAACGACATTTTAAAGTATTATCATAGTTAAAAGTTATCAAATATGGAAGGCGAGACTCAAATAACAAAACGGCAGCTAATGCAGTAGAAAATTCAATAAAGCACATACTAGTAAAGGGAGTTGGGACTTTTTAAACTCACAATGGTATTTAATTCACTGAAAATAAAAATTAGATTGACAACTTTAAGACGATGGATATAAAATAAAATATCAAAATCCCTAACTAACAAAAACCATATAGATCCACGAGTTTAAGAGGACAGATCTAAAACAAGTTGTCGTTTATTTCAAACCCTCTCAAATTCAATCTACACTCTTTTAACAATAAGATTTGGCCCTGCGATTTTAAAATTTTATTTCTGTTCCGAATACAAGTTTCTTCTAACTTACTGATTCTCGTAGCTGATGATCAATATCTCTAACAAAAATTCATAGCCAAACTTGAATTCTTTCAAAAACCCAAACCACATAGACAGCCAAATAAATCCATCGTTTTCCCTTTATTTCATACCCAAAATGTTTAGAGCCCTAGCAGACGCAGAAAACTACGTCTCCAAAGAAAACCCAAGAAAGAATGCAGCAAATCAGAAAAGAAAACGGAACCTGAAGGCCTATTAGGCAGAGTGCTCGGGTTAAATGTTCTGCAATTCGTGATGGCGGACGACTTGGCAAAAGGGTTTCCACTGAAACTCCTTCAGGTTTGGACCAATCTCCGGTTTTGACTTGGTATCTTCCATGGCTAGGCTTTACACATAGTAGAATGAAACAGAATATCGAACTGGCTCATTTAATTAACATAAGAATCACACTTTTGAGGTACTAACTACAAGTAACAATGTCAAAGCTTGTTGCATTATAAGTGGAAAAGGCATAGGACCCTGCAGCTGCTACTTGCTGGTAAGCCTCCGTGGAAAATGCTTTATAAAATATTTTAAATAATATTAAATTAATTTAATTTAAGAATATATTAATATAATTTAAATTTCTAACTTAAATATTAATATTATTATATTTATAAATTATATAGATAATTTAATTTAAGAATAAGTTATATAAAATATTTTAAATAATATTAAATTAATTTAATTTAAGAATATATTAATCTATTCTTATGATATTGCCTAACCTATAATTTAAATATTAATATTATAATATTTATAATTATATAAATAATTTAAATTAATTTAAGAATAAATCAGAGTTTGAAAATCATTCAATAAGGGAAACAGATCAAAACATACCTCTAATTTGAAACATCTTGACTGCTCAAAGGGAAGTTGACCACGTACGGGATTGCAGCTCCTGAGATGTAAATGCAATTTAGTGACAAAATTTTCTAAGCTACTTTTCCAAACTTATACAATTAAAACAGTCGAAGAATAACATGGCCCGCCGTAATACATCTGAAAAAACTATGCCTTGTACAGGTCTGTGTTTTAAGCCTCTGCATATGCTAGTTCTTGCTTAGACAACAATTTCTAGAGTGTTGATTCTAGTTCTTCCTCACCTTTGGATTTCTGCATACACTCTAAACTTAAGTGAAAGAAATAAACCCGATAATACAGAAAATGAGAATCTAAACACATTAAATCTTCAATGTCAGATATATGAAACAGAAGCATTCAAGACATACACAGAGTATGTGTTTTGAATCAGAAGATTTCAAGTTCAACCACAGATATCCAACGAAGCTTAAATGGAATCGATATTGAATATATTACATACCACAGATTTCGAGTCTCGACTGTTCTCCTTGCCAGGATCAGGCAAAGAAGCTAACATTTACTTGGTGATAATGTAATCAGACATTGTTTGAAACCTAGATTGCTGCAAACAAAATCCCGTCGACACAAATAAAAAAAATCTAACAAAAGAGGGTCCAATTATAACTCGCCATTTTTTAAAGAAGATTTTGCACCTATAAAAATCAAAGAAATCGTTATCAAACACTTATAACAAAGGAAATTTGAAAACCAAAGCAACTGATTACTGATTTACATACATTAGAGAGTATATCCAACAAGGACAATTTTAACAGCTCAAAATGAATCAAAATCGGCAGTGATTATGCCATCATGGTACTAGCATAAACATCATACTTTAAAAGCAGTTCTTTCATCTTACAAAGAAAAGGTTAGGAACTCACAGAAACAGTCATATCAGCAGTGCTTTGCTTTGAATCATCCGAATTATGACCATCCTGAAGGAAAGTATAAAAGTCACCTTTCAAGTTACTTGTCATTAGTTGATCAAATCCTCAACTACCTAAAAACTTTACTCCTCTAACGAACTTTACACAAACAATCAAGTTTTTACGAACAAGCAATTGCATGCCATTAATTAAGGTTTCAGACTCAAAATACACTAAGACTGATAACAGAGCCCATATATTAAACCCGAATGCCAGTTTTCAAGCACAAACAATTTTAATCCCCAAAATACGTTACTGTTTCCAAAAAAAAATATCGAAATCCCTAACTAACAAAAACCATCTAGATCTACGAGTTTAAGAGGATGATCTAAAACAAGGCGCTGTTATTTCAACCCCTCTCAAATTCAATCTAATTTCTTTTAACAAAAGATTTGGCCCTACGGTTTTATAATTTTATTTTGGTTCATAATACAAATTTCTTCTAACTTACTGATTCTCGTAGCTGACGATAATATTTCTAACAAAAATTCGTAGCCAAACTTGAATTCCTTCAAAAACCCAAACCACATAGACAGCCAAATAATGCATCGATTTCCCTTTATTTCATACCCAAAATGTTTAGAGCCCTAGCAAACGCAGAAAACTACTTCTCCAAAGAAAACCCAAGAAAGAAAGCAATAAATCAGAAAAGAAAACGGAACCTGGAGGTCTATTAGCTCTGCGATTCGTGGAGAGGGACGACTTGGAAAAAGGGTTTCCACTGAAACTCCTCCTTCTGGTTCGGACCAATCTCTGGTTTCGACTCGCTATCTTCCATGGCTAGGCTTTTCACATTGTAGAATGAAACAGGATATCGTTCAAGATTTGTTTTCTTGGTGGTGTGTTATCTTCGAAGCGGCAGATATCATCGTCGACATGAAATTCTTCTTACCCTTGCATCGATTTCTTTTTATTTCATACCCAAAATGTTTAGAACCCTAACAAACACAAATAATTACATCTCTAAAGAAAACCCAAGATAGAAAGCAAAAAAACCAGAAAAGAAAACGAACCTGAAATGCTCGGGTTAAATGCTCGGCGATTCGTGATTTTTGGGGTTTTAATAAAAAATAATGTAACCGCCATCTTTGGGATTTCGACCGTTGGCTTAGGATAAAATCATTGGGGGTGCCTAGATTATTATTTTTATTTTGTTTTGGTGTCTAAATTTTATTTTTTTTCAAAATCATTTAAGGTTTAGTTTAAGTTTTAGTTTAGTACATCGCCTTTAAAAAATTAATAGAACTGCTATCATGATTGTCGCGGCCGTCTTTTGTTTGGGCCCGGAATTGGGCTTCGACTTGAATAATTGGGTTAGAGTCGCCACCGATTAATTTAAAAACATTTAGGTGGATCATACACCATCTTATATGATCCGCGTTTTACCATAAATGTGTCAGGTTCGGGAGTCGGTTACAGTCAATGAATGATTAGCACCATTGTATTGCCCTTTCGGTACCAAGTAATTTGTCGGTTAACTTAATTGCGAAAATTAAAAATTTTAATTAAAATTTAAAAAACCTGATTCGAATTGCTTACCTTTGATGTCGGAATCCCTCTCAAAAGTCGAAAATGTTAGATAAAACATAAAAATAAAAGAAATGTAAATAAATCAAGGGAAAAAAAATAATAGAATACAAAAATTTTAAAAAAGTAAATAAATCAAAGAAGAGACAAAATAAAGAAAAAAACAAAATAAAAATGTTAAAAGTAAGGAAAAAAATAAGAAATAAAAAACATAAAACAAATAATAATTAAAAAAACAGAAATGAAATAAAATGGTGAAAAAGGGAAAAAATAAAGGTTGGGGGACTAAATAATAATTAAACCATCTGTCAAACTGTGACTAAAATAGAATATGCATAAATTACAGGGCCAAATCTGAAAATTATCAAACATAATACATAAATTAGGGATCAAAATGAAAATATCAAAAAATAAAGGCTCAAATTAAAAAGTCAGAAAGTTGCATTAATAGCTAAACAACATGATTACAAAATAAGGGGTATTGAATCTGTTATTTCTCTTTTTTTCAAAATCACGGGAGTGTTGAGGGGCCAAAACGACTTAGTTCAATTTCTAGTATAAATATAAGTTTCCAAGGCCAAAATGGCCTAACCCTTCTCATTTTTCCCTTATTTCAAAATTGAAGAGAGAGAGTTGAGAACTCCCTTAAGTAAACCGTCCACCGTCCGGAAAAAACAAAACCTCTTGAAATACTCTCCTCAACACCCTTAAGCCAAAACTGAACGTCGATCACTCAAAAGCGAGCCTCCTTTACGTAGATCTAAAAAAAGCTTCAGTTTTTTTACCTTCGAAGGTGACTCTTCGGCTTCAGTTTCTTGTTGTTTTGGTTATTTTTCAGTGATATTTTTTTCCTGCTTTGTTCCGGTTGAGGCTTCTGCTAGACCCGAATATTGGACCCTTTATTTGACTTGGACCACAATTAATAAAAAAATAAAATAAATAAAATAAAATAAAGTCAAAATAAATAATAAAAAAAGATTTAAAACGATATATTATATATAATTTTAAAAAGTTTTCAAAATTATATATTATATAGTTTTCAAAATGTTTTTTTAATATATAATATATATTTTCAAAATGTTTTTTTAAATAACTATATATTATATAAGTTTTCAAAATATTTTAAAAAACTATATATTATATATATATATTCAAAATATTTTAAAAACTATATATTATATATATGTTTTAAAAAATGTTTTAAAAACTATATAATATATTTGTTTTCAAAAATGTTTTCAAAACTATATAATATATATGTTTTCAAAAATGTTTTCAAAAGCTATATATTATATATATATATTAAAATGTTGAGGAGAGTATATATTATATATTTTTGAAAAATGTTTTCAAAAACTATATACTATATATATTTTCAAAATGTATTCAAAACTATATAACATATATATTTTCGAAAACCATTTTCTAAAAATTATATATTATATTTTTTCAAAAAACATTTTTAAAAAAATATACTATATTACTATAATAAAAAAATAATATAAAAAAAATCCAGACGAAAATAAGTGTCTACAATAATATTTTTATTTTCTACTAATGATTTGGCATTTTTTTATGTTGACATATCGACATTGTTAAGTTTTTAACGACGGGAACCACAATGAAACCTAAATTAAACGTTAGGTATGCTTTTGAAAAAAATAAAGTATGAGTATCCCAACTATCACTTATGTTCCATTTTGGTCACCTAATTATTTTTTTTCAAAATTATACCTAACGTTACATTTTTGTTTTATTTTGATGACATGACATTATCTTATGGTGACACATCAAAATCACTGTTATATTTTTAATGATGAGTGGTCAAAATGAAACTAAAACTAAACGTTCAGTATGATTTTTAAAAAAAGAAATAGTTAGGTTATTTTAAAAAAGTAAACTATTAGTTATTTTCGTTTTAACACCTAAACTTTTAAAAATCATGCCTAACGTTTATTTTTTGTTTCATTTTAGTACACTGTTGTTAAAACCTTAACGTAACTGTTGTTCATGATATTTTTATGAGTAAATTACATCATTCGTCACTTAACAATCTTTTCGCTATTATTTTGGTCACTAAAATTTTAAAAAAAATCAATTTAACTACTCAACTTTCAAATTGCTCATATTTTAATCACTCTAATTCATTTCATAAATAAATTTGTGACATGACATTGTTATTATTATTTTTAATAATATATAATTAAAAATACATTAAATTAAATTCAAAAGTTAAGGTGATTAAATTAGAAGTAATTTAAAAGTTAAGTAATTAAATTAAAAAAACTTTAGAAGTAATTAAGCCCCATTTCTGATGTAATTTCTGTTTATATGTATCCGAGATATTACTGGACGTTGGATTCAAGTTCGAGAGTGATCGAATGGAGTTTAAATGTTCAATCAGTGGAGCACAGAAACTGGGGTAATACATTACTACCTTATGTATGCTTTATGGAACATGTTGGTATTGGTAAATGCATGGATGAATATGTTTGGTCTCATCTGTATAATTAATTATTTCTAAACTTTGATCCGAATGTGGTAAAAAGTTGGTAACTGAATATGACTCAGATGACTCGTATAAGAAATTGAGAGACCGATAAGAATTAAATTACAAGTTTCATCATTAAGTGGTAAAACAATCAACCTCAAGATCTGTAAATTCTGATTTATCTCTTCTAAGGTTAAATGCCAAAGGTAAATCAATCATCTGTATAGTTAATTATTTCTAAACTTGATCCGAATGCGGTAAAAAGTCAGTAACTGAATATGAATCAGATGACTCGTATAAGAAATTGAGAGACCAATAGGAATTAAATTACAAGTTCTGTGATTAAGTGGTAAAGTAATAAACTTCTGTTAGGTAAAATTTCGAAAAT